ACGGCGATTAGAGTACTCCTTTCGACTTAATGCATCAGCTACCACGTTGGCCTTGCCTGGATGGTACTTGATCTCGCATTCGTAGTCGATCAGCAATTCCACCCATCTTCGTTGTCTCATGTTCAGCTCCTTCTGATTCAAGATGTGCTGGAGGCTCTTGTGGTCCGTGAAGATGGTGCACTTTGTACCGTACAGGTAGTGCCTCCAAATTTTTAGAGCGAAGACCACAGCTCCCAGTTCTAGGTCGTGGGTCGTGTAATTTACTTCGTGCGTCTTTAGTTGGCGGGACGCATATGCTATCACTCTTCCACGTTGCATGAGAACGCAACCTAAGCCCTGATTTGACGCGTCACAGTAGACTACAAAATCTTCCGTTCCTTCGGGTAGAGATAGCACAGGAGCGCTACAGAGAGCTTGCTTCAGGGTTCGGAACGCAATCTCTTGTCGGTCTGTCCACTTGAATGGCACGCTCTTTTGCGTAAGCAAGGTAAGCGGCTTGGCGATCTTAGAGAAGTTTTGGATGAATCTCCTATAGTAACCTGCTAGGCCTAAGAACTGACGAATTTCGGTGGGCATAGTCGGAGTTGCCCATCCTTCCACAGCTTTGACCTTAGAAGGATCCACATGAATTCCGTCTTGGCTTACTACGTGGCCTAGGAAATTCACACTCCGGAGCCAGAACTCGCACTTGGAGAGTTTGGCGTACAACTTTTCCGTTCGCAGGGTCTCTAAGATTTGTCGGAGATGTTGGCCATGCTCCTCTTTGTTTCGAGAATAGACGAGGATGTCATCGATAAACATAATGACGAAGTTGTCCAAGAACGGTCGACAGATTCTGTTCATTAGGTCCATAAATGCGGCGGGTGCATTTGTTAGACCGAAGGGCATTACGACGAATTCATAATGTCCATATCGGGTTCGGAAAGCGGTTTTAGGAATATCTTCTTCTCGGACCTTGAGTTGATGGTACCCGGACCGTAAATCTATTTTAGAAAAATAACTAGCTCCTTGGAGCTGGTCGAATAGATCGTCGATTCGCGGAAGTGGGTAGCGGTTTTTGACAGTGAGTTTATTTAACTCTCTGTAATCGATGCACATTCTGAAAGATCCGTCCTTCTTTTTGACAAAGAGTACCGGAGCTCCCCATGGCGAGTAGTTAGGTCGGATAAATCCCTTGTCCAGAAGCTCGCTGAGTTGGCTGGACAATTCCTGCATTTCAGCAGGTGCCAACCGATATGGTGATTTAGCGAGAGGAGTTGCTCCTGGAACGAGGTCGATCCGGAACTCAACCTGTCTCTCTGGGGGTACTCCTGGAAGATCTTCAGGAAACACGTCCGGAAATTCACACGCTACCGGAATGTCTTGGATGTTAGTTTCTTCTTTGGTCTTGTCCACTATGTGAGCCAAAGAACGCCAAATTGTTCTTTCGCAAGTGTTTTTGTGCTTTGA